CGCGTTAGATATTACGAGCGTGAGCTCAGCGGTCGCGGGTACTTTCCGCGTGCGTACTATCGGTTGGTGTGTGTAGGTGTGCTTGAATGAGCGAGCGTATGTTAGAGTGGTTACCGTGGCTCTGTGTTTGGCCTCATTTAAACAAAGTTGTAAATTAGCGCGTCGCGTTTGCGTGTGAGAGTCTTTTATCGGATAGTATCGTCTTCGCATCCGCATGAGGTTCACCGATTGCGATACCATGCGTCCTTCCCGGCGTGTGCGTGCGCCGTCCGAGAAAAGACTTACTCTTAAAACTTTTCCGTCGAGTCTCGCAACGGAATATTCGGCTCAGCGGCGTGAATGAGCGTGCAGGACGATTCGCGAGATCCCGACATCGAATCTGCCTGTTTAATTTGCTTACTAAGTTAGTTGCTTGCTATCGTTCTCTCCGAAGCTATCACGTCTACCCGATCGCATGTCTTGATCGATTCGATAGCGCAACTATCGTTCCGCTGCGTTATAATTACTTTTCTCTGTCTACTAATAATTTTTCTTTCTCTATTTCCATGTTTTCTTTTACTGTACTGTCTTTCGCTTCGGCATAGTAAACACGCTTATTATTTACTTAGTGATGACGATTGTGTTAACGCCCTGTCCTCGAAGATCCCGATCATCCTCCTGCAAACCGGCCCTTACCCGTACTCCCCCCCCCTCTGCCGTTAGATAGAGCTAGCCAGCCCTCATGCGAGCGAGAGACTGCTCTCGGTTTTTGGTGATATTTGGTGCTCACGGAGTTTCGCGGTTTCCGCATAGTTCGCGTTCCCGTTCGTGAAATCGACGTTGCTTTGAAGCACGTCTGGCGCCCAACTTTGTCGCGGCTCTCGATTCTCGCTCGACCGCGTGAGGCACACTCCCGCACGAGGGCCGTCACCTTCCCTCCGATCCGATTGATCTGCCGTTTCCCGGAGTGCGCTCCCGCGCGTACTCCACATAATCGACGCCGGGAAAAGGCGTGACAATAAATATATATATACAGGGTGTCCCATTTTAATTGTCCACCCCAAATAACTTTCTTATTTTTGATTTTAGAGAAAAATGTTTCAGACAAAAATTGTATGGTTCGAGGGGGTCACAAGATGGTACCATTGGTTTGACCTTGGATAATCATTTGAAAATTACATGAAGGTCACCTTTAATTTCTTAAATGGAACATACCATTTTTCATTACATATTCTCGTAGCTTATCTCGAGAGCTTTCCAAAACACTACAATAAAATATTTTTCTATTGCGTATTTTCCGAGTTATAAAGCTTTAAGTTTGCGGTATCCTTTCTAAAAAAAAGGAGATGTTAAATCGATACTTGAATGTATCGAAGTTTATTGTTGTCGCTTTTCCGCGATGCTGATTGGTTCTCTCGCTGCGTTTACTTCACGAGTATCTGTCATTGCCAAAATTGTGTGTTTTGACAGTTCCGTATTTGAAAACATCCTGCAATATGCATACAAGTAAATGGCCAAGTTTTTGAACACCTAAAGTAATTGTACAAAAACTCATCTTGCCTTGACTGGCTGGATCATGTAAGATAAGACTACAGGAAAACGAATTTGTATTTTTATTAAAACTATTATAGAACATAACAGGCGCGCGCTTCGCGCGCGCTACTAAGCTTTTAACATTTATGCAGGATGTTTTCAAATACGGAACTGTCAAAACACACAATTTTGGCAATGACAGATACTCGTGAAGTAAACGCAGCGAGAGAACCAATCAGCATCGCGGAAAAGCGACAACAATAAACTTCGATACATTCGAGTATCGATTTAACATCTCCTTTTTTTTAGAAAGGATACCGCAAACTTAAAGCTTTATAACTCGGAAAATACGCAATAGAAAAATATTTTATTGTAGTGTTTTGGAAAGCTCTCGAGATAAGATTCGAGATAAACTACGAGAATATGTAATGAAAAATGGTATATTCTATTTAAGAAATTGAAGGTGACCTTCATGTAATTTTCAAATGATTATCCAAGGTCAAACCAATGGTACCATCTTGTGACCCCCTCGAAACCATACAATTTTTGTCTGAAACATTTTTCTCTAAAATCAAAAATAAGAAAGTTATTTGGGGTGAACAATTAAAATGGGACACCCTGTATATATAATGTATAATTAACAATAGTTAAAATCATCAGAGGTATTTGTACGTGTAGGGTAACTCCGACAAATACGCCGCGCTGGGATTTACGCCACAGAAGTCAGAAAAAATAGAAGGAGTGGGGGTAATTTTCCCGTAACTACCTGTTACATGCCTTTATGTTATATTGGTATTGTGATATGATTTCAGCTTCTTACTGTTAATATTAATGAATTTATTGTGAGTTGAATCGATTTGTCACTGGCCTAGTTTACACCGTACGTTTTTTCCGCGGCCTATACCCTAAATTCGACCTAATTCAGGTCACATTATTTAGGCCGCTCGCTGTAAATACTACTATACCTGACCCGACCTGTTGTAGGTCAGGCCGTATTTTTTGGCGCCCTCACCTAAAATAGGTCATCTGCTTTCTCGGTGTAAATTCGCGACTAACCCGACCTGAAGCTTCGTAGCCATTTTGCTCGAACAGCTGTTTTGTTGAATTTGAGAGTTAGGTTAAACTCTCAAACCGACTCGATATAAACGCCTTTTTCATGACTTAATGCGCATGCGTTTAGCGATTCTTGGGTCCATATGGAAATAATTTGTACAAAATACGATAGATGGCTCTAATTCGGACCACTTAAGTTGTAGACGTAAGTACGCACAAGTTTTGGCGTATTGCGTATGATTGTTGTCTCTTGGAGACACGGCTACAACTTAAGTCTCTAAATAAACGTTACGATCGTTGTTGAGTTCTGAAGAACCACTCGACCGCGGCGGACGCGTTTCGGATCGGGGACAATCGTATATTTTTGAGTGTTGCC